ATAATGTCTGTTGGCAAGGTCTAAGCGACAATTTTTTAATCCGAATTTCAAAAATTCAAAAAAGGTGGAGTTTTTAAACTTGGGAGTAAGTTTGTTCCTACTTCGAATAAAGTGACGGATTATTTGTGCTCAGTGTTTTTTTAGACAAAGTTCAGCAGTTCAATAAAAAAAATTTGACAGAATTTTTTTCTATATCATCCAAAAAGTTTTGTTTTCAATGGGGGTTTGAGGATTGCCAGTTTAGCCACTTTGGCATTGTCAACGTGCAAAATATTTCATGCTGTTAACCCGTCAGCGGAAATTTATTTAGTCTTAGCAATTATTTCAAGTCCGACTGATGCCTGCATCTTGTTCTATTAAATGCTTTGCTGTATGCAAAATTTAACAAATTGTAGTTAAGGTAGCGTGTGGTGGATAGTCTTCAAAGAAAAAAAAATCTCAACAATTACCAAAATTTTTTCACTTTCAATTTTATCACTTTTTAAGTTAACACTACTTTATAGAGCTTAAAAGGTTGTCAAGATACTCTTGTTTTGCTCAGTCACATTTCGATCTTTCAATAGTGATTTATAACTATTTACTTTTTCACTAAAAACTTATAACGAATAATCTTATTTTTAAAACAGATTAAAAGAAATCTTTCAATCGATAATTTTTGATTGACCTTAGAAGAAACTGTGAGTGTGAGAAGTCTTGTTGATTCGATTTTCAAAGAAAACAGGGAATAAACTTGCCTGGGTGTTTTTTTCTAATTCAGACCAATTTTACAAAAATTGACAGCGGATGATTGTCCATCCGGAAATCTTTGGATTGCAACGAGAATATGCTTGCACTAGACTAAAATTCGAAGGGCATGGTTGCTCGATTAAAACTCATAATTGTAATAAGCATTGCTTTTGCGTCGCAAGTCAAATTACAAACATTCAAAATGCAGTTGAGTTTATCAATTTTTCCTGATCAAAAACTATTCGAGACCAGTTGAAAATAATCGGAACATTCAGAGCTACGCCCTGATATATACCGGCAGTCTTGTTTATATTTTTTCGGGAACCTTCTCTAGGTGAATTTTCCCTCAACAAAACAATTAGTGTCTAGTGGCCACAAATTTGCTCGAATTATAGTCGTATTTTCCGTTAAATTGATTCTTTGCATACAAACTGGGCATGTCTGGTCAATAAATAAAGAGCGCAAGCTAACAGAGTAAATTGGCCTATTGAGAGTGTTTCTATGTACTATATGAGCCAAAAATTTAAATCATGGTTGTTGTTTTTGCGTCTATTTTCGAAGAAACTGACAAAACATCTGTGCTCGGGGTTATTTTTTTCTCCAGACATTTTTCGACTTTTTGACTAGCATTTTTGACAAAATATTTTATGTCATTCAAAAATATCGTTGTTTTGAGCTGAAATTTAAAAGACGCTTCACCTGTGATTAGTTTTATAAAATTATGACGGTTAAAAGATTGACAGTTTGGCTAATTTTGAACAATTAACCCGCAATATAATTTGTGCTTTTAAAGCGTAAGTGGAGACTTTTGCGTTTTAAATAGCGTGTGCGAGATGATTTTCAAAAAACCTTAAAAAGTTTCAATCAATTTTGACTTAAAAAACATCCGTACATGCACTATGCGCTGATACGAGTAGTTTTGTTTTTGTTTTAATTGTGCAAAAACGGACTTCAAAAATTATTAGTAAAATCAGCAAAAGAGCTTAGTTTTCATGACTCCCACAAAAAAATTACCTTATATTGTTAAGCCATTGTTAAAACGTTGCAAATAAACAGTTAATTTAAGCTCGGAAAATTTCAAATTCGCGTCTCTTGATATCAAACTTACTTTTTTCTTTTCAAAGGTTCAAGTGCACGGTTTCAGTTTATAATGGAGTTATACGTAACGAAATGAATCGGGAGCAAAAGCATGGATGGGGCGATGCTCGTGTTGTATCTTGTTTTTCTTTTTAACGCATCTTTGTTATAAAAGTAATCGAAACCATTTTTATGTTTGTTAAAGATTTTGTTTCGTCGCTGAAAGAAGTTTAAAAAACGTTTAAAATTCTAAGTCAGCACCACCATATTAATGAGAAAGAGGTGCTTATAATTTATAATACCCATGTTTCATCATTACCATAACACCACAGGTAGTAAAAAGTACAAAAGAACTAAAGGAGAAAAGTATTTTAATTTTTTTGTTCAGCAACGATATAGCGCTGCACAGATGTTTAAGCTTGGAAAGTTTTCACAAAATTGAAAGCTTTTCCTCAACTTGATTATTCTTTTATTTATTTTGAAGTATTGAAGCGAACCAATTTTTAATGATAACAAGGCTACTCTACTCGTACATCAAATTGATGCTCTGAGTGTTCCGAATCCTTTTAAGATCAATTTTAAATTTTGAAGAAATGATCAAAAAAAGTTTTTTTTTTCAAATGATTCTGTCTCGAACTAATGTAAACACCAAGTGTATGTATTTGGAGTTTGTATCCTAGTGATAGGAATAATAAACCAGTCTAAATTCAGTTTGGAAGCCATTATTAAACCACTTACGCATGTTATAAGAACGCAAAATTGGCCATATTAGTCGTTTTGAAACTCCCATTACTTTAGGAAAAACTATGATCACAGGTGAATTATCTTTTAAAATTTGAGCTCGGGTTAACTTTTCGATGATAATTTTGTCATAAGTTGTTAATTGAAAAGTTGAAATTTATCTGGAAAAAGAACAAAAACACCCAGCTTCCTTCAAAATCAGAAACAAACCACACCAAATTTAAAGTCTCAACCTTTCTCAAAAATCGGAACAAAAACATGTCGCCTACGCGTTGCTAACAAGCAACATATTGCGCATGAGTTAATCCACATTGTTGAAATTAGTAATTTTCAAACCCTCATAACTTTACGAAAAATGATCAATGGTGAAATGTCATTTTTAGTTTGAAGTCATTTCAGTTTGCTTTTAAACTTTTTCAGGAGGTAAAAGAAGGTTCGTTCAAAAATGCTCTTTGGATTGGTTTGAATGAAAAACCAAGCCGAGCACAAAAATTCTGTCACTTCATTCAAGAGTACGAATTATGAATTTCAAGGTTTTGTTCCGCCAATTGAAATTGGCGAGGAACTTTGTATTTTGTTGTATTTTAGTTTTGTTTCCCTTTTTCAACTTTTTGTTTTCCACACAAAATCAGGCAGCACAAATAACTTTTGGAATCTGTCGAGTGATTTATCATAGTAGAAGCTTTTCAGTAATGATTCGCACAACACTGAAAATTTTTTTAAATATTATCTCAGTGTTGAGAGAAACCGGTTTGAAATTTTTGTTTTTGGTTTAATTTTGAACTAATGAGGTGAGCATGCAGGCTTACAATAGCATAATTATAACTAATTTAAGCCGTTTTTTGAGAAAAATTAGTTTTTGGATTTTTTAACGCCATTTTTTGAATCGAAAATTTCGAAAACTCAAATAAACTTTGCAAAAAAAGTTTGAGAAAATTTGTGATTTTTTATAGAAAGTTTTCGTTTTTTTTTTCTAATTAATATTTCTAGAAAAACTGTTTTCCAATGGTCCTATATTAATATGACTGTCGAATATGCCTAAGTTTTATTTTTTCTTCAGATCTTTTAATCATACCACGCAGAAAAACAACGACACTAATTTGAACAAATTTGTTTTGTATTCTTAAGACTATGGTAGAAACATTCTGTGAAACAATAACCGGCTATCCTTGTTCATATTAAGGTTCAGTTTATTCGAAATCTAATGAACTAATGCTATTTATGAAAACTTTCGTGAGAGTGCTCTTCTGAAACTTTTAGTTAGGCCGTTCGTGGCTCGCACAATGTGGTGTTCACTCGCAGGTCGTTACATTATACCAAAAATTTTAACCACAAAAACATGTAGTTTGACCAAAAATCTGGTCAACTGAGCATAAAAGACATTATCAATAAATATCTTCAATACTTCTTGTGATAGAGAAGGCTTTTGATCAAAATAGCAGCAAGCTGTCGGAAGTCAAATTTCCTGAACACTCCTCAAAAAATCTTCTGAACTATTTATAATTTCCATGGCAGACAATTGATTAATTTCCATGTCATTACCTTGTTTGGTACCATATGTTTTATGATGCATCAATGCTTTGATGCTTTCAATCAAAATACATAAAGCGACCAGAGCCAAACAAAGCGAGTCGATATCAATTCCGCTTTGATCTCCATGGAAAATCAAACAAAATGCTTTATAATTGAATCAAACGGTGCCAAGAAGTCTGAATCGGAAGCCGAGAAAAGCGCTGTCGTATTTTTGTCGTTAAAGATTTTTGACTTTTTTGGTCTCCAATTTACAGCTGTAAAAAATGTCAATATAGTCTGAATAATGTACAAGTTTACTGTTAAGGAGTTGTTTATTTTGGTCATGTTTTCTCCTTAAAAATGTATGAGGTGCTTCTCAGAGTGTAATTTCCGATCAATTCGTAGCTGCTCACAGAACCGTATCAAATTTTCGAACCGTGACCATACCTGTATTTTTGCACAGTAAACCTAAGGCTCATATATACGAAATTAACTGCTTGAGTTTTGAATACATTTTTATCGAGCCAAACTTGAAAGGTATCGCAGAAATTTCATAAACTAACATGAAAAAACTGTAGCCAGTAGCGCCAAAATTTATCTTTCAAATTCTTGTAAGGGTCTTAGAAAAAGTGGTGTGCAAATTTCTGATTATTTTTTTACAAGATTTCGAAATACTTTTCAAAATATTTTTCGAAATATGTTTTGAAAGATTTTACTCGATAAAAATTGTCGATCGACTGGAGAAACAATTTTGATCACACTCTAAGATCTGATATGAACGATAAAAATAGATTTAAAAGAAACATTCTACTACCATGACCTTTCGGCATAAACCAGAACCGTATATTATCATTTGCAGACACTTTGGCACCCTACTACCATCCCATTGACTATATCATGCCTTAATGTATTCACGCCACTTGTGAACATTTCACAATAACAGCCACCGCCATCTGATGATTATACACGGTCAGCACTACACCGCACCATCAATGTCTTTTCATCTGCTGATAAAGGGGGACCGCAAAACTGTCATTTATATTTCATGTCACATCCAACTTTGATCACATATTTTCCTCTACATTTTTCTAATTTATGTTAACTCTATCGATTACAAATTCGTTTTTCACAAATGTTTCAAGTTCAATTTTTTGTACTAGATTACCTAGGAGGATTAAGTTGAAAATCATTAATTTGCATAATTTACACTCTATTGAGGAAAAAAAACTATTGTATATTTAGTGGTTTATTTTCTGTTTCGATTAATTATTAATTACTTCAAAACTAGAGCAAAAAGTGATTAGCTGTGTGCGCACAAAACACATTGGCGTCAAAGGGGAAATCCGTTGCAAGTGGAATAAAAAGTAGCTTGCATAATTAAAGGTTTTCAGCTTTACTTCCATCTATGTTTTAACTGCCTCGCCATTTGAGCCATCACTTTTCCCAAATTTTGAAAATTGATGTCTGAATGTTATCTCATCTTCAACAAAAGGAACTTTATAATCTTTTATTCAAGCAATCTAATAGAGATTTTTTGATCCGAAAGAAAAGACCTCCCCTTCTATTTTGTGACGCAATATTTGAGCTCCGTCTTCTTAGATTGGTTTACACTTCTTTCAAAAAGCCCCCTTGCCATTACTATAAAAAAAACATGAAAAACATTAAACTTATCGAAAAACTGATTGAAAAAACGGTTAAAGAGTAAGGCTTTGAAAGCTCATTCTCAGATGATATAAAAAACAACCATACCATAAACTTCGACTCTTAAAAAATCAGATTGGAAATTCCAGTTTATCGACAGCTGATTTCACATCCGATTCACTTTAAAAGAGAACTTCCAAAACATGTAAGATTTTTAACCTTCATTCTTTTTAGTTTGTACTTAGTTGAACCATCAGTCTAAGATTAGCTTAAGTGAATTATAAGTGAACGCTAGAAAAACTAACATGGCAGAAGTGGATTTCACAATAGATTCATCAGAAGAGACTACCGAATCAGAGTAAGTTAGAATCAACAAAAACTCATCGTTCCGATTTTCGAAGAAAGAATAGAACATTTGTGTTTTGTGTAGTTTTTTTCTTCCCAGTAACTTTGAGATCTCAACCAACCACATTTGAGTGTGTTATATTTCTCTACAATCTGAAAAATAATGACGTCCTGAGCTCAAATTCAAAATATATTTAACCTATAATTATTTTTAGAAAATAAGTTGTGGGGTTTGAAAATTGTCAGTTTGGTCATTTTGGGATAATTGATGCCATATATTTTAAGCGATAAATTCCGTGTTTTGACGCGTAAGCAGCGGTTTAAACTGAAAAATCTTGTTCCGAAGTAACTCTAGGCAAGTTTTTGTTCCGACTTCGATACGAAAGTGACGGAATATTTGTGCTCGGGGTGGTTTTTTTTTCTTTAGACAAATTTAGACTTTTTAACTAGCCATTTTTGACGGAATTTTTTTAAATATCATTCGAAAGGTGTTGTTGTTTTGAGCTCAAATTTGAAATGATATTTCACCTGTGCTCATTTTTTGTAAAGTTACGGGGGTTTAAAGATTGCCATTTTGGCCAATTTGGGACAATTAACGCGCGATATATTTCGCGCTATTAACGCGTAAGCGGAGATTTAATTTGTCAAAGAAATCGTTCCAAATTGGTTGAAAGAGGCTTATTTGCCTTAATTGATTTGTTACAAGGAGCAAAAACTATCCTTTTGTACTTTATATGGTATGTGCGGGGGGGGGGGTGATTTTCATAAAAATTTTCAAATTTCAGAAAAACAAATTTTCATTTTGTTTTATTTCATTTAGTTTTTTAATGTTATTACTGCTCCATAAATCTTAAAAGGCAGTCTGAATTTTCAGGGCTTCGACTTGATACGAGCAGTCTTGTTTGGGCTTATATAAACGTTGCTAGACCTAAATACAAAACTGTGTAATTTACATCATCGATGTAAAAAAAAAATTGATGACAGATCCACAACTTTTTTTGATATTTTGTCTTCTTTAAGTTTCACAAAAATGAGTTTCTCAAAAGTAGAGCGTCTATAGAGCGAACATAGTAGTCAGAAGAGTTAAGGTTTCGACGCGATACCAACAGCTTTTTAGCTTTCGGCAGTCCTTATAAAAAAAATCAAATAGGACGGCTGGTTGATCAAGGCAAAGCCTTAATTATTCCGAAAGCCCCTAAAAATATAGCATTTTCTACTTTTACTTTTTCAAAATTATTTCTTCAACATTTTCAACCGTGTGTTTTTCTGTTTTTCTTAAACCGTGTTTTTTTCTGTTTTTCTGATTTTTTCCTAAAAAATGAAAGGGACCGCTGCAGTCGCGCTAACTTGTTGCGAACTTGCCAACACAGGGTAGGACTCTATACAAAAATTAAAGCCAGTGATTTGTCTTCGTACTTTTTGCCTGAACTGTCTGAATTTCAAATTGACTTAATTGTCTTTGGCCGAATTGCCTCTGCAACTTTTGACCCATAGCCATTTTTTACATTGTTTTCAATATTGAAGAGCAACTTAGTATTTCAGAAGAACAACCACCGAAAAATGATGTTAGAAAAATGAAATGGTCTGAAAAAGAATCAAAGATGAATTTCTTAGAAATTTTTAAAAAAACATTGCATTCAATCAGTTGATTTTACTGTTTTAAAAATGTGAAATAAATTGATTTTACAATGATCTTGAAGGCAATCAACTTTAGTTGTTTCTTCTAATCTGCTATGAAAAGATAGATTTAAGAAGCTTGATGTTATGAAGCTTTTTCTTTTTTAAGTAAATTTCTACGATACGCATTGTTTGCTCAATCAGTGCATAATTTCAAAATCACAATGCATTCAGAAACTTTATTTAAAATTTGAAGATGCAACCTCTGTAAAAAATTGCTTAGAAGCAATTAAATGCAATTAATTAATTTTGTAGATTGCTGATCGGAACTTTGCGAGTTTTTGTAATTCGGTGATCGGAGTTTTAAAAACTGAAATTTCATTCTTTGTAAACAAAACCTTCAGACGCAATTACTTGCAATTAAATGATTATGTGCTTTGATGATCGGAGTTTTTTGGAAATTTTTAGTTAGGTGATCGGATTTTTAAAATTTTTAACATGCACCCTCTGTAATTAGTTGAAATTGGACTATTGCAATTATTTGGTTTTGTAGTTTGGTGATCGGAGTTTTTGGTTTCCAAATTAGCAAAAGATTTTCTGGGCTGCATTTAACTTTTAATTCCTTCGAATTTCTTCATGTGTGGTGTTTAGCAGACATTCTGCTTTTGAATTCAAACAGAACAAGATTGCTCGTATCAGGGCGAGGCCCTGAATGTTCCGACTGCCTCTTAAGGTCTATGGAGCAGTAATAACATGGAAAAATTAAATGAAATAAAAAAAATGAAAAAAAAACAATTTCCTAAAATTTGAAATTTTTTAATGAAAATCATCCCCCCACACGCCATCTAAAGTACAAAAGGATAGATCTCGCTCCTTGTAACAAATCATTAAGGGCAAATAAGCTATTTCAACCAATTTGGAACGATTTCTAACACGGATTAACTCTCCGCTCACGCGTTAATAGCGCGAAATATATCGCGCGTTAATTGTCCCAAATTGGCCAAAATGCCAATCTTTAAACCCCCGTAACTTTACGAAAAATGATCACAGGTGAAATATCTTTTCAAATTTGAGCTCAGGACAACAATACCTTTCGAATGATATAAAAAAATTCCGTTAAAAATGGCTAGTTAAAAAGTCGAAATTTGTCTGAAGAAAAAAAAACCCACCCCGAGCACAAATATTCCGTTACTTTCGTATCGAAAGTCGGAATAACAATTTGTGCAATCTAACTTCGTTCAATTTTGTTGACTAAAAAGTTTGTTGTCATAAATTTAACACTAATTTAAATGGGCAAAGATTACTTTAAAACAATAAGTTCTGGAGGACTTAAAAAGCTTATTGAATTGGCTATTCAGTTTTCGCTGGCTTGCAAAAATCTTTTAAATTGAAGTTTTTTCTTCTGAAGTTTGAAGAAATTGTTCATAGATTTGTGCCTGAGGAGGTTTTTGTATTTATTCAAAACTTTTAGTCACAAACTATTGGCTGAATTATTTAAAACGCAAAACTATTAAATCGATGAGATCATTTTTTTTTTGAAAAATTCTCTGGCTCCAAACGATTTGCGCTAAAAATCTATCATTTTTAATGCGTCGTCGGCTAATTTTGTCGGATTCAGAAAATGTTTCATATTGAAATAAGTCCAGCTACTTAATCCAAATGGCGCACAAACAATTTGGTCAATGACAACTCAGTCAACTTTAAATTCAGACAATTCAGCCAAAAATACACAGTCAACTCAGTCGCAAAACAGCTCAGCTAATTTTTTAAAGTGTTAGATTTTTAAAAAAATTCATCAATTTGAAGACCACGCAGCGTTTTGTTCAAAGATATTGCATGCGGTGTGCATTTTTGCTAGTATCGGCAGGGGCGGATTCAGTGATCATAGTTTAGGTATCATAGAATCATACTTTTTTCTGCTTCTAATGCAGTAGAGGATATAACGAGGGCTCAAAGGGCGGAGCGGACGTTTCCTCTCCTTTGGTACTATTTTAGGATATCCAATTTTGGCTGACCGACACTAAAATTTTTTAAAAGCCACTTTAACTCATTACATTCTAATTTGAGGAGGAGCGTGCGCCAAAAATCGGTTCTTTATATTCACTTGAGAGAGCTCAGAAAATTTTACGAACGAAAAAAGTTTACAAAATGTTCGAGTTATTTTTGGGGCAATTTTGAAAAATAGCTAGAAATTTTGATGCACTGGATTTGTTTTTTTAAACGAGTTTCGGCCTTACAATTACAGGGGCGGATCTAGGATTTTCTCGAGGGGGGGGGGGGGGGGCGGATTTTCAAAAAGTTTTCCAAAATTTTGACGACCTTTTTTTTTTTAGGTCGACCAAATTGATTTTTGAGCTCTCCCAAAGCACTGTTTTGCCCCTATTTTGGCAAAATTTTCTGCGCCGCAGGCAAATTTTTGAAAAAACAGTCAAAAAAGCCGTTTTTGGGCACTTTTTGAAAAATCTTGACAAAAAATAGCGTTTTTTTGGCGCGCGCTCCCCCTCAAAGTTAGTATATATTGGCGCCGAAGGCGCCTTTAGAAAAATTTTAGGGTCGGTCTGCCAAAAATGGATTTCTGAAAAAGTATCAAAGGTGGTTAAAATCTCGAGTTCAAAAAAATCAAGTTTAAAAATTGCTAAATCAATCGTTTTTCAGTTTATTTGCTATCGCAATTTACTTTGAAGTTATTTTTTCATTTTTTCATATACTCTTCATTTTCGTTGTCGGTTGGTTCAAAACTCAAATTTTGCTGGTAGGCATCATTTTTTCTAATTTTGCTTAGGTTCGCTTTGAATTCTCCTGGAGGTAGCAGTGACTCATGTGGCGAATACACACTTCCTGAAGACTTCCGGTTATCACGCGAGGCTACTAAACTGCGGATAAACACCAAAGGCAACCTCAACAAAACCAAAACTAATCATAATAACAACAACAACAACAGCAGCAGCAACAACAAAAACAGTTACAACGATAGCAATTTTAATACAAATTCAACTGATGCCGACGTTGACGAGAGACCAAAGGTGCCACCGTTGAGACTGTACCAAAAACAGGTGAAGCAAAACGCCACAGGTGAGTATAAAAGGAAGAAGAAAAAGTCAGAAAATCGGAAAGGATCCCAGAAAACAAGTGAAAGCAACAACAGTCTACAATCACTCGGTGCTAGTAACTACAGCGACTATAACGACGAAAACACCCAGCGCCAAAAGAAAGTTTCATTGCCGCTGCTGCAAAATAACATGGATCGCTTCAATTCTTCGAATTTTTTAGAGGTCGACCATCAAACCCGAAGACAACAGTCGTTTGGCAACAGCAGGGGTTGCTCCTCGTTGCCTCCCTTGAGCGACGAAAGGGGGTCCCTAATACGCGCCCTAAGCAACCACAAAGGAGACGACTTCAGTCAATCTGTGAACATATCCAATCATAGCTACTCGTGTAACAAGCTGCCACTAATCAGAAAGAAGTCCTACTCCCTTCCAGACCTGCAACAACATGTGAAAACTCAACAGAATTCACGTGTGTCCTCGCAAGGTTCTGACTATTTTGGTACCTCAACTCCTAGTGAAGAAACGGGCGCCAGTAGTGCGAGAATAACATTGCCTCGCTTAGGCTGATATAAGTTACAAATGGTCTTCTTTTTAATCCCATAACTTTAATTCACTTTACCTCAAATGAACTCAGTTGACATTATTTACTTCAATCAGCTGAAGTTGAACAGCTGTTTTGATTATAAGCAATAATGTGTATAAAAAGCTTTAAATCTTATTACTAAATGTCATAAAGTTGTTTTGAACAAAACCGGGTTTTTATCAAGTAGTTATTTCAAGTAATTAAATTGTTATTTTTCATTGCCAACGAGAAAGAAATTTCTTCAATACAGATATGTGTAAATTGCAGTTTGTTTCAAAATTATTTAAGTATTTTTTACAATGTATATCAGTGCCACAAATGAGATTCGACATTCCACTTTTAACAGCCCTGCAAAAAGGTCCTACAGCCCTACCGTTATTTAACCCGAAACCGGGTTCAGTCCCGCAGCGACCGTTTATTTTGCCTTGCTGGGTGAATTCAAAAGGTTTGCTGCAATCGGGAAGTTGCGTGCTCGCCATTCCAGAAACACGTACTTTTCATGAGAACGCCTGGCGTTTTTTTTGGCGCAAATCAGACCACCGTCAGGTCACTGGTACAGCCTGCTTTCAATATACAATATAAACTAAATGTTTCAATTTGATTTCTGGTACTAAATTTACCTCGTTTTGTCTTTTGATTGGTTAAGAGTTAAGTGGCTAGGGCAAGTTTGCCGATGAACAAAGCCATGCTCTAAAACCCGCCATCTTGAAGATCCACCTATGCTACATATCCAAAACTGTTACAAATTGATACAAGTGGACGTATTGTAGTTTCAAAATTTATGAAGGACTAAATTGATGCAAGACAAATGCAGACAAGACTGCTCGTATCAGGGCGAAGCCCTGAATGTTCCGACTGCCTTTTAAGGTTTATGGAGCAGTAATAACATGAAAAAATTCAATGAAATAAAACAAAATGGAAAAAAAAAATTTCGAAAATTTGAAATTTTTTAAATAAAAATCATCCCCCACAAGCCATTTAAAGTACAAAATGATAGATTTCGCTCCTTGTAACAAACCAATTATAGCAAATAGGCTTCTTTTAACCAATTTGGAACGATTTCTAAGACGGATTAACTGTCCGCTTACGCGTTAATAGCGCGAAATATATCGCGCGTTAATTGTCCCAAATTGGCCAAAATGGCAATATTTAAACCCCCGTAACTTTACGAAAAATGATCACAGGTAAAATATCTTTTCAAATTTGAGCTCAGGACAACAATACCTTTCGAATGATATAAAAAAATTCCGTCAAAAATGGCTAGTTAAAAAGTCGAAATTTGTCTGAAGAAAAAAAAACCCACCCCGAGCACAAATATTCCGTTACTTTCGTATCGAAAGTCGGAACAAAAAGTAGAGCTACTGATAATTTGAGTACCTATTTATTACAGCAATCCTTATTCATCAAAAAAAGTTGGCTCTGAAAAAAATTACGTCCTACAAATAAATTGATAAATCAAAATCCTGAAAAATTGTATTATATTGGAGGCTTATATACAGCTGATAAAAGAGATAGTTTTTAAATTTTTTCTGTATTTTGCTGTTGTTTGGCAACAAAACGTTTTTATTGGGTTCCTGTCATTTTGGGCCTATCTCATTTTTTGGAAATGCAAATCATGTAAGATATTCGGCACGAGATTTTACAAGAAAACTGTAAAACCTTTTCTACCTTTTCTAAGACTTTACAAGATTTGCATGCTCTTACAAGAATCTTGCAAGATTCGCATTCCAAGTCAAGTACACTTACGTACTCGCCTGTTCAAAAACAGCCAAAACTGCATGATTCGATCACTGGCCCAGATGTTTCTGCAGTTCTTCAATCGGAAAATCTAATGCAAGCTGCTTCTGAAATTTTTTTCACAAGTTTGCTTTTTGTTTAAATCGCCCCTCCTTTTTTTTCTAATTGTGGACCTCCCCCACGATTTTACCAGCCTCCAGCTTCTCGTTCACTTTTTAAGATCAACTTCTCATTCAGTTTTTTTTTATCGAATCGAAAACTATTAAATATATTTCCGAGTACCTAAGAAATATGTTAGTCAATTAGGATTTGTGGCTTTTTCCATTTTTCTTCGCTGTCCAAAAATGAAAGAACAAAAATCGCGAATTTATAATGTGAAGTTTTTCACGCACTTTTTTTAAGCAAACGATTATCAAAAACGAGCTCAATTATCAAACGTGAGTTTTGCGAAGTTTCACAATCACGTAGAAAATAATTTTGGCTTAAATTTAACTCAAATCTAATGCACTCAGTCATTGGAATTATCTTTTTTCAGGAAGGTTTTCGGTTTGCTCTAGACAATTGAAGTATTTGCAGAATCATGGTTTTGCAATGAAACGTCCTAACAAAGAACAATCAGTACAGAATCCTAAATAATTATTTATTTATTTATTTCAGCTCTGAAGTAGCTTTTATTGTAAGAGATATGGAAGTATACAATGAAGTTCAAATTATTTTGCTTTTAAACAATTTTGGCAACTGAAATTTTACTGACAAGCAGCAAACTTTTTAACATGTTGAAAACGTGTTTTCATCTTCAATTTTAGTCGTGAATTCACATTTTGTCCTTATTTCAATGCGTCCTCTTATGCCCAAAAAACCTTTTGACGCACGTTGCAACTAATTTTGAGATGAAAAACAGTCATTTTCTTGATCGGCTTTTTTCAAATGCGGAAATAAAAAGGAGCGAGTCAATCCTGGTTTCGGCAGAGTCATAAATTTACCTTAAATGAGAATATCATAAAACAACTCTTTATGGCCAAAAAGTTCATGTGATTTCCACTGGGACACAAAATGCGCTAGTTTTTTTAAGTTCTTAAATTAAATGCGTCTTGTCCATTTAGGATGTAAAAAGATTTTCTCTGCAAAGTCTTGAGATGTAGAGTTGAAACCTTGGTTGATGCAATTATTTGAACGGACTGGTAGAATCGAAATTTGAAAAATCATCTTGTTTTAAAGGCGTAAAAGTGCCAGTATATCATAACTACAGGGTGTTTCAAATAAACTGTAATTTTATAAAACCCTATAACTTTTTTTTGAGAAGAGATAAATAAGTGGCGGAGATTTGAATATCTGATAAAATTGTTTTTATAAAAGATGCTGAAAGTGTCCGCCGTTTTGAGCAACACAGCTTTGTAATCTTTTCGTCAAATTTCTCAATGACTCTTCGATATTATCGGGCGTTATTGTATTTCGGGCATCTTCTACAGTTTGCATGAGTTCGTCAATACTTCGTGGATTCGCACCATGAACAATTTTCCCCAGATGACCCCACAGCCAAAAATCCAGGTGATTCAGGTCCGGACTCTGAGGTGGCCAGGGTATAGGGGTTCGTCTACTTATAATTCTGTCGTTGAACTTTGTCCCAAGCCAACTGAGTACGCGTCCCGTGCAGTGACATGTGGCTCCGTCTTGCATAAACCATATGCGCCTCAAGTTTCGTCGTTCTCGAAGGACTGGCCAGAGGTCGTGTTCCAGCATGTTCAGATACGAAAACTGGTTCAGTGTTATTGGTCGTTGCTGTTCGTCTACGAACCAAAACGGGCCAAGAACAGCTCCTTGAAGGAAACCCATCCAGCACATCACTTTCTTTTTGCCCTGGTACTTGCACTCCGCGTATTCTCTGGGGTTAACTAAACTCCATCTCCTATCGTTTTGAGAATTTGGAGAGCTGTCGAGCACCCACCACTTTTCGTCTGAGAAAATCACCCGTGATGTTAAATCTGCCGCTGTTTCAATCTTGCTCAAGCACCAGACACCAAAAGTAAGTCTCAAGCCGAAGTTCGTCTCTTTAATTTGGTGTGTTTTGAGCACTTTGTAGGGCTTCATTTTGGCAGCTCTCGCGACTCTCCAAGTTGTGGTGCGGCTCAACCCCAAATCAGCTGCTGCTTTAGTTATTGAATCTTTAGGATGAAAATCAAAGTGTCATATAATACTGGCATTTGCTTCATCGGTTCCTGGTAACCCCGTTCCTTTTCGATGCTGCCCTTGAAATTTCGATAACCCGCCTCTTTCTTGGAACCGTTTCCACACTCTGATAAACTGCGTAAGTTGAAGTGTTGATGCAACGCGTGGGGCAATGTAATATTCATTGATATATCTTCTCCGAACTTCAGTTGGGGATTCATAAATTGCAAACAAACAAATGATCCGTTTTTCTTCGTTTACTGTGAAAACCATTTCGTTGTTTTCATTTACGTATGAACAAATAGTTTAAAAAATTTTTTGTTGCGTGGAAGCGTGAAATAGTTGAAAAATCGCGGGTATTCACTATCGAGTTCAATTCATCAACGCAGTTTTTGAGTTTTATCAAATCTCCGCCTGTTCTACATAATATCACCGAATTTGAAGTCGAACTGATCAACAGTTACGAAATGAGAAGCTTTTATAACATTACAGTTTATTTGAAACACCCTGTAGTTTTAAAAGTATTTTTTGATATAGAAGCAACCTCGCAAACAGCCCTAAACATTTGAATTTCTAATCTCTTTCCATCTTTTTGTCGTATCAGTCGTCGCATCTGTCGTTTTTCTTTGACATTAAGAGTGATTCAAGCTGATCAGTTTTTTAAAAAAAAAAACGAATTTTAGTTCATAAAATTAAGATTCTAAGGATGTTTTCGAGGATGCTTCTACAGCAAAAACACTTTTGAAACTAAAATCTTTTCAAATCGTTTCATCTAGATTGTGTCAAATTTTCAATCCCATATCGTAAGCATTTGAAAAGAAAACGACCAAAACGTGAAAAACATCGTTCATTTTCTTATTACAGAAAGTTGCCATTTTTTTGTTTAGAACTTGCTCCAAATCTTTTCTTTGTTCTGAATTAGTTCAGAGGTTGTTTCCGATAATCACTCAACCGTTAGGCACCATATTCTCACGCCTTAATGGTCTTTTATTTTCACTGCTCCAACTTTCATAACCACAATTGCCACTGGTAGAATTCTAGAACAAAAAAGCGTACCTCAAAGTGACCGAAGAGCGACTCAATTAAAAAACGAACAACAATTTCTGCAAACTCTGCAGCTCATCACAGCAAACTCTGCACCTCAGCTTCCCCTTTCAGGGATTTGACCCCCTGCCGACCTAAATGGTCCCCTTTGTACATTTTTGCGATACTCATTTTTGGCTGACGAACCCTAAGAGTTTTCTAAAGCGCATTCGGTGCCAATATTTACTAATTTTGAGAGAGAAGGGCACGCCAAAAAGAACGCAAATTTTTTGGTCAAAGTTTTTCAAAATGTGCCTACCTAAAACGCTTTTTTTTTGGCTTTTTTCAAAATTTTGCCTGCGGCGCAGAAGTTTTGTCACAATACGGTCTTCATAGTGATTGTGAGGGCTCGGAAAGTCAGTGTGGTCGACCTACAGGGGCGGATTCAGGGGGGGGGGGGGGCGTTTGGCGGACGCCCCCCCCCCCCCTCAGGGATTCGACCCCCTGCCGACCCAAAGGGTCCCCCCTTTGATACTTTTTCAGAAATCCATTTTTGGCCGACCGACCCTAAAATTTTTCTAAAGGCGCCTTCGGCGCCAATATATACTAACTTTGAGGGGGAGCGCGCGCCAGCGATTTTTTTGTCAAAATTTTTCAAAAAGTGCCCAAAAACGGCCCAAAAGTGCCCAGTATATGTTGGCTCCGCCCTCAAAATTAGTATATGTTGGCGCCTAAGGCGCTTTAGAAAAGTTTTAGGGTCAGTCATCAAATATGCATATCTCAAAATAAAACAAAGGGGGACCCTTTGGGCTGGCAGGGGGTCGAATTCCTGGGAAGGGGGAGTATGCACCGCCCTCCCCCCTCCCCCTAAATCCGCTGGTGATACAAACCGTAATTTTTTTTTAAAATTCTAAAATGCAATTTAATGTGTTTTTGCTCAAAGCAGTTTAACATTAAGACCAAGTTAGGTCCTTCTAGGATTTGGACAGGAGCGTTTTTTTTTCTTCTGACAGGTTTTCCAAGTACAGCTGCTTAGATTTAAGAAAAAGAAATCATAGGTTTTGACTCTAACTTTACGCAAAAAAGACTCCCAGGTTGACCAAAAATGTTTATCATACAATTTTGTACACTTCCATAGATACAGAGAATGTTAAGGAAACTCAAAGATAAGCATTTTTTCATAAATGAAATTGATGACAAGCATTTCTTTATAAACCTATAAGTTGTTTTTTTTATTTTAATTCTTAAACTTTTTTGGATGTGTTCCTCAAAACTAGAGTCACCAAAGAGTTGATTGTCTGGCATTTTCAAAGTTGATTGTTTTTAAATTTAGATTTTTCCAGTTATCAGACATTGATCAAGGCATACATAAACCTTTCATAGAAAAGAAATAGGAGTTTTTAGCTTGTTTGAAAAAAGTTATCCAGAGAAACGGAAAAAAAACTGCAGATTCTTCTCATATAATTCCATACATCAAATTTACGGGAAAATGCTAATTATACAATTTTCATACATTTTCGATAAAATCATTGAAAAAAGAAAGGGGCAATTTCAATAATACTTGGAAAAATTTTTGTTGTCGCCATTTAATTTATCACCAGAGTGTTTTATTTGGTTCAAATAGACGCAGAAACTAGTTAGAACCTTTTTTCAATGTTTTTTGATAATGTATGAAAATTTTATGACTAGCATTTTTCCGAAAATATGATGTATGGAATTGTATGCAGGGGCGAATTTAGGGGGGGGGGGGCAATTTACCTAATTTTTTCAAAGGGCGCCTTTGGTGCTGGTGTCTTTGGCCTTTATTTCCTTTATTTTGAATGCGTCTTTTTTGAGGCCTCAATATGGACTCATTTTTGACTCGAGGCCTGCCTCATTCGCAGTAAATATTCCCCATTCAAAACTACCAGGCTCATTCTAAAATCTTCGACAGGACAGGGACATCAAATTTGCACTGCTGGACAACCCCAACAAACCCCCACTGCAAGTCTGGCCACACTAATTTGTGACGAAACAGGGAAAACAAGAAAAGCGAACTCTTAGCCCCCAGCACCTGGAAAGATACCAGTTCCTCCATGATACAAGAGGGACTCTACTGCCGCTTCTGCTTCTGCTTTGCTGACCGGGAAGAGACAAAGAAATCGGGGGGCTCAGCAGAGATTCAGCTGGTCAACAAGCCGTTCAAGAAGTTTGCACGCCTCTCAAACTACTTGGATCCACATCAGAAAACAGCCCATCACAAGAAATTACTGGAGAAAGCGCAGGCCTTCCTTGAGTATGTCAGAAACCCAAACAGGAACATCGATCGCGCAACTGGATCGCGCAGTTGCAAAAGAAATGGAGAAAAACGAGAAGATTCTGGTTCAGTCAAGGTTGAACGACATGATGATGTTCTGACTTTTATCCAGCTGAAGCATTCCATTGAAGCTACGCTAGAAGACATCAGCAGTTGGCCTGGGGAAAGCTGTGCTTCTGACTGCTGTGATCAGACTGCGGCTAGCATGATGCGGTCAAAGTTCTTGATTGCCCTGATGTCTATGAAGCACCTGCTGGAGCGACTAAAGCTACCAGCATTGCTCTTCAGGGACCTTCGCTAGAATTGCCTCAGTCGATGGATCACAGTCGGACTTGCGTCACCTCTTTCAACATTGGCGCGATGGTGAAGGCAACGGCCGCTACGAAAAAGTCCATTCTGCAAAGCTTGGCGATATTCAAATAGAGGGCAGAAGAGGCAGACCTCCTGTAGCATCATCGGCTTATGATCACTTCAGGCAGACCGTTTACCTGCCCTTTCTTGACTTTTCTTGATGGATCTCAAGGAACGCTTCGATGGAGCAACCTTTTCTTGTGTTCAAGTGTTCAAGCTGCTACCCCGTTGGATAAGTGAAAAGGATGCAAAGGAGGAAGATTTTGATGATATGGTCCAGTTATACGAAGGAGTACTTACAAATGGTGACTTCCCCAGCAAGTTCGAAGTTTGGAAAAACATGTGGCGCTTCCCCCTGTACGCCGATACACCATAAACCTTCTCAGCTGCACTCAGAGTGTGTCAGAAAGCCACAATGCCAATAATATTTGCTTTCCTCCAGATTGGTGCTACCCTCCCAGTGACTGTATGCACTGCTGAGCGCTTTTTCGAGCATAAAACTACTAAAAAGTTACCTGCGCTCCAATATGAAGGAGGACCGACTCTCAAACTTGGCGCTGATTTACATCCACAAAGATGTAGAAATCAAAGTGGAAGAGGTCATCGACAGATTTGCTGCAAAAATAGAAGACTCAATTTTGTTTAATTTTCTTTATTTTCTTATTGCAAATAAATCTCTGTTAAAATTTTTCTTCACCCCCCCTCAAGAAAATCCTAGATCCGCCCCTGATTGTATGATAAGCATTTCCGGTGTATGGAATTGTAAGATAAGCATTTCGGTTTATGGAGGTCAACCCGGGCTTGGGCTAAATTTAAGGCTTGAAATTCAATTTCACCATGTTTTGAATTACTTTGAAGATCGATTGCTATGATCGAATTTCAGTTACAACCCATTTCTTCATGCTCTAATAGTTTTTTATATTCACTGCTATATCTAACTGTTATTACCTCAAAAGCCACTTGAAAAAGCATAGTCATTAAAAACAGATTACATTGTCATTTAAGCTTAAGACTAATTTATAAATTACGAAAGCCATCTGTAAACTTCGCTTTATGTTAGTTTAAGCTTCAGTCAAACAATTTATCTTACGAGGTCTGACCATATTGTATATTACTAGTATATAGGTATTATATATAACGATAGCAATGGCCAAACATATTTCATCAATTCAGAACCTAAACGTATATGCAAAACATCTGAAGGCAACTTAGATAAGAAGTTACCATCATAATAACCATCATTCGCGAAGGTAGTTAGTAATAATAAATATTTTAATAAATTTTCGAAAACATTAATTTGTAGAAAATCACTTCAACGATTTCTCCTTCTACGCAAAGAAAAAGGAAATGTAGACTGAATATCGCGAGGATTCCGAGTTTTCTTGCAAGTTTTGTTCTTCTTTGTTTACTTCCTTCGATCATATTTTATTAATTATGGACCACGTGCAATCTGAAGGTGAGGAAACGGTAGCCACAAAACCATACCATTACCAAATGGTAAGTTGTTCACACTTCCGTTTAGGTTTCACCTTATCAACCATTCCAACCGACTCTATTATGAGCAAGAATACAATTAGTTCAACATAAGGGCCGTTTATGTCTTTGGTCATTTTTATGTAAAGGGTTCCTAATACACCTATAACTTCCAATGAGAAGAATCAGCAACTTAAGTCCTATTTCAGCTATTGGGGTTTAAGATTTCGCGACAACAACTATTGCACTAGTAAATAGGGACAAAAACGTTTATGGAAGTATTGGTAAACTTTAGAGCATTTGGGAAATGGTTTGTGACCGTAAAGCTGCTCGGCCAGCCCAGGAAAACATAGTTTCAAGCATAAGGGTTTTTATCTCCCTCTGCAAACTTTGCAAACAGCTACTTATTTGATTGTCTGCGAAGTAAATTTACTTTACTAAGGACAGAAGACTCATTTCAAGTTCGCGTAAGTGTATGTCATTGTAATTTGAGGCTAGCCAGAACACAATTGAGTCACTTTCAATTTTTGTCCAAAATCTTTAAAAAAACACGGTTATGTTTCTTTTAAAAATTTAAGACTAAAGAACTGGCAGATTGCTTCAGAGCTCAAAAAACGGATATTCCCAATAGAGTACTAAAAATTATATCTTTGAATCGTATAGCCACAATAGCATCAGGGGCTTAGAAAAATTAGCCCCAAAACAGCTGTTCAAAGATTTTAATAGTATTAAAACAGAAAACGAAAAAACAGAAACGAAAATCTACTCTGTTTTTTTTTTGTAGTTTCTCATTTTAAATTTATTATCTCATTCGATAAAAACAAAATTGGCATCACGTCAAAGCGAAATAAAATTGGCATCTTTGAACGTGTTTCTCTCAAATTGGGCTGGGCACAAAGTTTTGAGAACAAAAATTGCTCAAAACATCAGCAGAATTAAAATGATGCAATTTATGCTAATTTGGGTAATAAAGTGGGTCAATTTTGGCTTTTTATAGTCAATCCAATTTTGCATTTATACTGCCGAATTTAACGAACAAATTATCCAGTGATTTATCCTATTATATAGACTCTTACATATTTTATCCGATCAACTATATGAAAACTTTTTTCGGACAACAATTCAGTATCGAAGAAAAGAGCTTTTGTTTCGTTTTTAAACAATCTTAGAACGGAGAGTGAGGTAATTCCTTAAATTAAGTGACTTTGAGCAATAAAAGCAATCAAATATTTAATTTGTTGCGCCAATGAACTATTTTTTTAATGCTGATTTAGTTCCTTCACCACTCGAAAAGATAGGACTGCGCAAAAAATAAAAAATTGAAAAAAAAACCTTTAAATTTCAATTTTCTAATTATATTTTGATTGCATCAGAAATAAAATTGGTCAAAAATATCTGTGATATTTGCACAAAACACAATTATTGCTCCAACCATTTGAAAAATGTGAATAAACTTTGTTTTCGGGGTGTTTGAGTTTTTTTTTTGTTCCGACCATTGAAAAAGAGGAGGAACTTTGTATTCGGTTGTTTTAGTTTTTTTCCTTTTTTGTTTTCCACGCAAAATCGGGTACCTCAAAATAATCAACAGAACGAATCAAATGATACATCAAACTGAAACCCTTTCAGTCATGATTCGAATGAAATTTAAAAATTATTAAAATTTTTAAAAGTATCGAGAAAAACTGGTGTATAATTTTTGATTTTTATTTCAACTTTGAGCGAAAAAAGCAGCCTAGCACGCTTCCAACAGCCTATCTATGCTGAATTTAAGCCCTTAAATCTTAGTTCATCAGCGCCAATTTGGGAACCTAGAAATTCAAAAAAAATTTAAAAATCAGCAAAAATATTTGAAAAAAAAAGTTGAAACTTTTTTTTAAATTTTTTTTTAGTTTTACCAGTCATTTTTCCAAAAAAAGTTTTCCAACTTGCTTATATACCTATGAATGTCGAACATGCATACATTATGGTTTTTCGTTGATTCTTTTCATCACACCACATAGAAAAAACACTAATTTGAAAACAATATATACATTTTTTGTAGTTTTTAAAGACTATGATCGGAACATTGTGCTACTTGCATAGTATCCTTGTTCTTGTTTTGATTTTAATTTGAGAGAAAAAACTTCAAAAAAATTTCCATCAGGTGGTTCAAGCAATTTGAATTGCATTTCGATTTTTCTAAATTATTGCAAAACAACAACTGAGAGTTGATTCTTCTGATTTCTCGTTTACACCCAATGATTCAAGTACAGTCAATCCTAATTATGTTTTATAAAATGGAGTGTCCTAGAAAACCATATACACAACTCCCACAAAAATCAAACAGCTCCGCATAACTTGTAAAAGTTTTTATTCTTTTTTGTTTATTTGGATTCAAAGATTTGAATTTTTTTTTGAATAATTCATTGAATTGTGGCTCTCTTATTTACCGTGTAGCTTAAACCGATATATATTTATATAGAATAAGGTTAAAAAGTTAATTTTTCATACATTATTTGCTTTGTATCGTTTTCTTAATGACTTTTTGCTCATGTCTCGCCTACAGTTTTGTGCTTGCCTCACTAGCATTTACTTAATGGGCGCACTTAAAATTGGAAATTTAGCTTTGAGATAATTTTTGCTTTGTAGCATTGTTTCTTGATAAAATTTTGCCTATGTAGTGAAGTTCTACAAGAAATGGGCAAAATGCTCCATGTGCTTCGCTTCAATATTAAATAGTTAGACCACTATTTTAGTTGCACTTAAAAGCACACTTTGACTACTTTTTCGGGCTGTTGCCGCACTGGAGTTCCATGGATGATAATCGATTATATTGTCATTTTATAGTCAGTATCTATAAAATTACAAAACTAATCGATTATAATCCATCAAAAATGGATTATAATCCATTATTTTTTATATCATTATAATACATTATAATAGATTATAATCGATTATAATCCATTAAAAATGGATTATATTTTTCATAATTTTAATGCCAATGTAATCTCTTTTAATCGGTTATAATCAATTATAATGGACTTTTTCGATAGATTAGTCATGAAATTTACAACTTTTTTCATGAAATTTAGATTAGTCATGAAATTTACGCCCCACCTCCCTGCCAGTTTACCACAACCGCCAATTATAATGGATTTTAATTGGTGTATAATCCATTATAATGGTTTTTAATTGGATTATAATCCATTATAATGGATTTTAATGGATTGTGATTTTACGAAAATGATCGATTATAATGACAATATAATGGATTTCGTGGTCTAAATTTGCCACAATAATGGATTATAATGACAACATTTTAGACCACAATTTTCCATTATAATCGTTTATAATCCATGGAACTTCGGTGCGGGTTGGCCTTGGGTTGTCTCAAGCTTGCTATTTCGACTTGTGCAGAACAAGTGATTTTTTAAAATGGTTTTGTTTAACAATCTTCTCCACGAAATGACTTTCATCTTTTGTGCCTTTATTAAGCAAATGTAAATACTAGTAGTGCAAACGACGAAAGTCACAAGAAGCACTGATTTAACGATATTATACTGCTTTCGCTCAATCTAAGCGCACCCTACTTGACGAAGATGACCAATTTTGCAAGATCTTGTAAAATTCGTGTAGAAATGATCTACCGTTTAAGATTTTTTTTGTAAGGTTATCTTGCAAAATCTTGCAAAATTCTTACAATATCTTAAAAAATTCACCATCAGTTTTCCGACCGAATTATGCTCTAAGTTATTGTAAGATTTTTGCAAGATCCTACAAGATAGCTTGCAATTTCACGTAGCATGTTCTGGTAATGTTGCTAGCGCAAAAAAAAGAGTCATGTGAACTAAACAGTCTGGTTATTATAAAATGATCAAAAAAGGTGTTCAAAGCAAGCTGAAAGTCTGAAAGCAAGCGCGCCATCTTCGACATATCTTTCGGTACTATCTGCCCATTGTTTGTGTTTTTACGTTTTTGCGAAGAAAAACCCAAAACCACATTTGGTATTCTACATAGGTGGTTGGAGCATTTAACAATTAATTGAGGGTTCTGCGATTCGCAGAGGATCTATGAAAAGCTATCAGGCCTCTCTGAGCATAGTTTGTTTCTATTAATTCCCCACGTTCCTGACGGAGTAATTTTGTTGAGCGAACTTTTTTTTGCAACTCAAGCCCTTTGTTTTTGCATCTGGAACTTTCATTTGATACCACCATTGCAACCGAAATTAGTCAGGCTGTGATAGAACTGAAGCTAGAGGTCAGGTGAGAGATCATCCTCACATACATCATTGCCATGGCAGGGGATCGAGTACACGATCTGACGATACCAAAGTGATCGATTTACCACTATGCTAAGTGCTATTGTATGTTTGATGATCTCAAACTTAATATTAGGTGATGATATCGGGAGGAGCTAACATCCTGAGCCAGAGTCAGCTGAGGGCAAAGGTGAGGCATATGTTGACGCAGAGTACAGACCCAGTAGAGAGGATCAGACTGACTGCCCTGCTGAGGGGTCCAGGGGGCATCAGAGACATAGGCAGGATATTCAGGAACATGGATGACGACAACAGTGGACAGATCAGTTTCTCCGAATTCCAGCAAGGTGGGTAGTGCTAAGAGGGAAAGGTTAAGCAAAGCATCCCTCAACAGTTTTAAGATCAAAATTAGGAAAAATGAAAGAGATTTTAAAGGTCGAAATTTTGAAAAAAGCCAATCAGGGGTCATTTTAGAGGAGAAGGGGTTAGAATCTTTTCTCTGGATTTGACTATTTCCCATTATATAGCCCCTCATAGTTGTATAAGATCACAGTTTGACTCCGGATTTGACTATTTCCCATTATAGCCCCCATATGTGTAAGATCACAGTTTAGAGGCTGAATTTTTTGCTTACTGAAGCTGTGTGGCTATTATGGGAAAGAGCCATGAACTCAACACCCTTGCCACCTATGGGCTTCCTTTCTTTTGTACTAATTATGGCTCTATCGCGGCTCGACACTATAATTTTTCTGATATGCCATCGGCGCCAATATATGCTACTTGAAAGAGGCAAATGAGAGCCAAAAAAGTGATGTTAGCGGAAAAATTTCAACAATTTTGATTTTGAAAATTCCCCGATTACTACGAGAAATACTACATCTAATCATGAGGCCAATACATGCAATTCATCCACTCTACTTTTTTTCAAAATTGGAATGAATATTTTATCATGCTCAGGAGTGACAGCGATAGGGTGTGTGCTGGATCATTGCGAAATGCAGAAAGCCTACGACCAAATCGATTCAGACCACTCAGGTGACTGGAAAAAGAAAACATCTTTATAATCTGAGTTGACTCAAAGTATTCAACATTTAAACTAAACTTATATTGTATACTTGGAAACAAAGGAATCAAAAATGAATTGAAGAAAATTGCCCCGTTGTAAAAAATAAATATTTGATCTACGTGTCCATGTGACTTTTATGCACAATGGTTCAGGCAGTATCAGCTACGAAGAGTTCCTGGAGAATCTGCGTGACAAAATCATGAACAGTATACGGGAGCGAATGGTGCAGGAGGCATTTAAGAAGCTGGACAAAGACGGGTCAGGGTGTCTGACGATCGAAGACCTGCGAGGAGTGTGTGACGTCAGTGGACATCCCAAGATACTCTCGGGCGATTGGACAGAAGAGCAGGCACTGGAACAGTTCCTATGTGAGTTGATACGCTGTGAAGTTTATTTCATCACATCACTTTTAACTATCTTTTTATGCTGAAAGTATTATAATCAGGGGCGGATATAGGTTTTTCTCGAGGGGGGGGGGGGGGAGGGGGGGGGGGAGCATAAATTTTGTCGACTTTTTTTTAGGTCGACCCAGTTGATACTCTGAGCTTTCCTAAATCACTAAAAAGACCCCATTTTGACAAAATTTTTTGCGCCGCAGTTAAGTTTTTGAAAAAACAGACCAAAAAAAAACGTTTTTAGGCACTTGATGGAAAATTTAGACCCAAACTTCGCGTTTTTTCGGCGCGAGCTCTCTCCTCAAAATTGGTATATTTTGGCGCCTAAGGCACCTTTAGAAAAAATTTTAGGGCAGTCAGCCACAAAGAGGTATCTCAAACTAGTACAAAGGATGGACCCTTTGGGTCGCCAGTGGGTCGAATCCCTGAGGGGGAGGGGGAGGGGGGAGGGGGAGGGGGAGGGGGAGGGGGGAGGTGCGTCCGCTTCCTTTCGCCCCCCCCCCCCTAAATCCGCTGGTGATTATAATTATGTGTACATTTCGGAACGAAAACTATGTGCAAGTTGACCGACCTAGAGAAAATTGATGAAATTCGCGTAAAAATTCTCGTGAAAGTTTGAGTTTGTTTCTTTGTGAAAATTCTATATCCGCACTTGAATATTCTGAATAGCATTGTATCTGGTTCTCACTTTTTATGATCCTTTCTGAATCATGATCAAACCAATTTTTTTGGATCAAGCTTCTTTCTCTAAAATCAGCATATTTTATATTATGGTTCAGAAACTTATTGACTTACTTTGCATCATCTTTCTGTCGTTGTACAATTCCTATACTTCAAAACTTCATACTAATTGATGTATTATGTTTTTTTTGTCAGCTAACTTTGACACGCCTGACAACTTTGATGCCACCATAACCAAGGACGAGTTTTTCTCCTATTATGCTGGGGTGAGTGCCAGCATCAACAAAGACGAGGACTTCCTGATGATGGTGAACGACACTTACCACTTGTTCACCACGAAACCAAACACCGGAATAAGGTATGCAATTCGTCATCAAATTACGCAAATTCAGAATTCGTTTCTGAATTCGGAGAAAACAACTAGAGTTTACTTTTTGCCCTTTAGCAAAACTTCCCGCGATTACTACCGTTTATTTTTTTCTGCCAAGCTTTCAAAAGTTTCCAAAAAAGAGTCTGAAGCCAAAATTCCAAAATTTATTGAGGTATGATTTTTGGGAGAAAGTCTTTTAACAGGAATTGTCGAACCTGAAAATTATAATAAATTATTGATGTTTTTTTCTCGATCCAGAACTGCGGAATTTTTTTTATTGTCTATGATTGTTTTTGTTAATGCTGAATCACCTTGATGTTAACGTCGACTGTATCCGTATGTTTTTTTTAAAATTGGATAAAAACAACTGTTGAAGTCTAATTCACCTCTTATTCTTGACGTATATTGTAAAGCAGAAATCGAAGGTGGGAAACACAAGAGTACACAACTGCACATAACGAGCAAAATTTTGGATTGTATCCAAAACATTGTCGTTTTGAACTCTCTATTTATTTATATTCCATTTTTGGTTTCTGCTTTAAACTATACGTTAACAATCAGAAGTGAGTTGGATTTCAACTTGCGGGGCACATCAAAATAAAACTCAAATCTAGAAATCATCAACATTACCTTGTGCTATTTTGACCACTCATGAACGTGCTATACCATTAGGACCGGTCAATATATATCACTGTCATTCGTCCAAGCGACCAACTCGAATCTCGTCTACTGGCTGCCTCCATTGTGTTTATCGAATGAGAGCGGGAGTATACTCCCGAAGAAAACATTTTCAGATGTTTTCAGTTCTCTTTTTCACAATCCTTTTGTGATCTTGCAGTGAATTTCTGGGAGCTGTTGTTTCCAAGCATCATAATGGCAGGGAAAATAACAAGCGCCCAGTCAGGAAACTTTTGGGTACCAGCGGGAACTCGCTCTCATTTTTACTATGATGAACTAAAGAACGCAAATTGAGGATCTTTCTGTGTCATACACGATGATTTTAAACAAATCCTCAGTGACCAAGTCTAAGCAAGAACCCTTGTTTGACCATCTCAAACATTTTGATTCAAAAAGTTTTGAAAAGCTTGACTGTTTAAAAAAAACAAAGAAAGGAGTGAAACCTTATGAGGTTGACGGTGGAGTGATAAACAGATGAAGAAAAGTCTGCAGTGATAGTATTGGAAAATATCTAAAATTAACTTAAAACCTTCACCTCTAAAAATATCGCAGTTTTAAAGACTACCCCCACCCAAAACAGAAGGATATCAAAACTAGCAGAGTTAATCACCACACAACTTTCCAGTTCTCCAAAAATAGTCGCAAAATGTTCAAAACTTTAACCATTTTTGCGAAAATTCCATTATTTCAAATACAGATACTCCTAGTGTAAAGGAAACAAACAACAACCATTTTACAGTCTTTAGTGAACCTGACAACCATTGATGAAACTAATAACTTTCCCATATTTTTTGACGAATTTCTTTGAAACTGAACGCAAACTAGGAATGGGAAAAACATTTTAGCCGTTTTTTTCAACACAGCTTCAAACTTCAACCTTAAAACGTATGGCGATACTGGTTTGAAAAACGGAAGGATAAAATTAATCAAGCCAGTCATCCATTTTGGCTTGAGTTAAACATTCGAAGATTGCACAAAAAATTCGCCGCAATTTTTTCGAAAACTTCATCAACCCTGAATAATCAATTTTATAAACTTTTTTCTAATGAGCTTTAAAATAGTCGTTAATAACTTCATAGATGTACAATTAACATTTCGTCGACATTTAACATGCCCAAATACTGAACATATTTTGTCGTTACGGCTAGATTGTAACCAAAATGGCTAACGTACTTTGTGTTAAATGAAACAGGTGCTCTAAAAAGTGCTTCAGGCGTTTTTTTAATCAAACGCGTTGGTGAGTAAGTAAAGACAATTCTATGATTTAGCATTTTCAAAAATCCTTTTTTATAGTAAAAAACGGCATGAAGTGCTACTAGATAGGCAAAACCAGTCGGCATAAATGTTTAATTGCCGCAGTAAAGGATTACCAACTTTTAATTTAAGACAGCGTCTGACTTAAAGTTCTCCTTACGACAGAAGACTCGAATAACTGAAATTTTTAATGGCTAAATGCTTTTCACTTTTCAACAGAATCTAGATGAAATTCACAAATACAAGCAAAAAAGGAAACAGGAATTTTATAATACAAGAAAAAATGAATGAAAAAACGCTTTAAAAATTTTAAAATTAAGCCACTTCGGTCTTCGAACCTACGCCAATGGTTTCAGAGCCTAATGTTCTACCAATTGCTCCAATCAATCCTGCTATTATTAAGAAGAAGCTAAAAGCGAATAGGATCAAACATTACCCTTAAATTGCCAATGGTAAAATACTTGCAGCAAAAGGGCCTCTAATTTGTTGAGTACTACTAAAAAAGTGTCATTGAGTACAGCTAAAAGTGCTACATATTTATGCAAGCTAGGTTGGCAAAAATCACTGGTAAAACTACGTCTGGTACAAATGAACAAATGTGAGAAAAAATGTGACACTTTACACAATTTTTCATACCATTAAATGCTTTTAAACACTAGCTAGTCCTTTTTTGTCGAAAAATTGGAAGTTTTCAGCCATTCGGCTGTTTCTGCATGAATAAAACACCAGTAACTCTTCTGACTTTAGGAAAGTGAAGACCGCGCTGGGTCTGCAGAGAACGGCCAAAGAGAAGGTGATGGACAAGTGTAAGAAAGCTTTGCAACAATCAATAATCCAGGAGGCTGCCGAACACAAGATGTCAGTGGCCCAGTACAAGAAAATCACCTTGCAACATGGTAACGCCAAAGGCTGAATGAGTGCAACAAAATCAGGAGAGGAAAGACGCGGATAGCAATAATAACAAAAAACTCATACAAAAACATTTATCTTTGATAGGCTATTTCAAACAGCTGTCAATTTAACATTTTATCGCTTTCTAATTTATTGAATTTACACTTTTTTAACTTTAGTAAACGAGATGAGACATAGAACAGCTTCGAGGCAAATTTTTGAAATCCAGGAAATCATTTTATCCACTGCTTCATTGGGTTGTTAACATTAGTTTTAAATAGTTTCTATACTGGTTTTAAAAAGTTTGAATGTTATGCAAAAAAATCAAGCAATTTACGGGTTTAGAAAACATCTACGAACTCGAAAGATTAGATTTCTCATTAAATCAAAGATTGACCAATATTCTCAGCACGTAATGTTTTTTGATCTTTTCATCCTTTCCACGCTCTAAAGTTACTTGAACCTTTTTAAAACATTACAACAAAATTATAAGTTTTGTGTCTCTAAAAAACTCAAATTTTGGATTTATAGCCTTCATATCTTAACAAAAGAGATCCAGTGTCCAGATAAATAGTTTTTCATTTTCAGCAATTTTATTTCGGTGCACCAATTTTTTAGAATACGTTTAGAAAACGTTAAAATCTTAAGCATTAATACATCAATAAGTACGCGAAAACAAAATCTGTCAAAAAATGATGAGTTAAATTGAAAATCTTTCTAAAACTTATATTATTTAAAAATGTGTATGCATATTAGCTTTTCGATCTCTTTTTCAGGTAATCTTAAATATATTTTTCTGAAAACTATCTGACTCTGATCAGATAACAATAATATTTTTTGGGAACTGATACCTTTGTTTATAATTTGGCCAAATTTTCTTGCTCGAAGCGTCTGAGTTTCTTAAGCCGAGTTGTCTGCATTTGAATTGGGCTGGAATGAATCTCATGCTTAAAAATACAACTATTAAGCAGCAAACTCTCTGCGTAATTGATGTAAATACTTGGTCACTGCTAGGGACCCGGGTCGAGGTGCTCACTTTATGTGTCGACTTTCAAAGTTGAGCACATGACAATGCTCGACCAAAATAAATCAAGACAGGGGCATGGGTTGGGCGCAAAATCGAAACATACCTCGAGCATGGTCGAAAAATACCTTTAGCGCGGTCGAAAAATACCTCTAGCATGGTCGAAAAATATCTTGAACACGGTCGAAGCATACATCTATTACAATCGAGCAAGGTGTGTGTGTGTGTTTGTGTGTGTGTTTAGAAGCCCTCTTGATAATCGGGGGAGTTGAAATGTCCAGTGCTTGTTGCGAATAAGATGATGTTGTTGGGGTTCGTCTGCAAAAGCGTTTCTTCCCAGGTGCTGTTCTCTGGCCTAGTCCCAATTTTTGCACTTCAGTAGGTAGTGTTCCGTTGTTTCTGGTTCTTCCCCATCGCAGTGCTCGCATATAGGATCCTGTGATAGCCGGAATCTGTACTTGTTGTCCTTGAGTGATGTTTCTCTATTTAATCTGATGATGTTGTTGGGGTTCGTCTGCAAAAGCGTTTCTTCCCAGCTGCTGTTCTCTGGCCTAGTCCCAATTTTTGCACTTCAGTAGGTAGTGTTCCGTTGTTTCTGGTTCTTCCCCATCGCAGTGCTCGCATATAGGATCCTGTGATAGCCGGAATCTGTACTTGTTGTCCTTGAGTGATGTTTCTCTATTTAATCTCATTTTGTACAGAAACGTCTCTTCTGCGCGCGTTCTGTTTACTGAGCGTGGTAGATGTTCTCCGTTGCAAGCTTGTCGGTGGGTTGAGTTTGATGGTGTTTCCGTCTGGTATCTTTCTGCGTTCTTTGCATCTTTTCCTCTCAGGATCGCTTCTCTTGGATCCATACCCTGTGGCAGCTCGTTTACCCTGTTTCTTGCTACCCTACGCCAGTCGGGTCTAAAGGAGTTCTCAGCTCTGGCCTTCAGTCTCGGGGTGACTTCTCTCTCTGCGAGCTTACGCAGATGATGGTCTTCTGGTAGCTCAAGGTACTTTACCATCTGCAAGGCGGCTCCGTCCGCAATGATCAGGTCCATGTTCTGAATCATGGCGTCGCACTTGACCGCGCTTGCTGGCGATCCGCGTGGAGTACCCGTTATTATTGCCGCTGCCCTGTTGTTGACAACTTCTAGCCTGTTGATGTTGGTCCTGGCTAGAAACGGGCCCCAACTTTCCGAGGCGTAGAATCATCCCGGTCGGACATAACTGCAGTACACACTGCGGAGATCGTTCGACACGATTCCCCAGTTCTTACCGCCAACGCGGAAAGTACTTGTGTCCTCTTCGAGATTTTCTTCGCCATGTTCTGGCAGTGACTCGTGAAGGTCAGCTGGGAGTCTATGGAAACTCCACGAATTGTCGCTTGTTTCTCCGATCTGATTCTTGTGTTGTCCATCGTCAGCTTCAGGGACTGCCTTTCCCGCTGTTTCTCTGGGGTCCAGGCTAATCACCACCACCTCTGTTTTGTCTGCCGCAATCTCCCATTCGTTCTCTTTGGCCCAGATCTCGATCGCATTGAGAGCTGGCTGCATTTTTCTGGCCGCTTCCTCCACTGTCGTGTCTTTTGGGCAAACAGTGAGGTCATCGGTGAACTGGTCTACCTCAGCGCTAGGAGCCATTGCCTTGATAGCGCCGGGTAGACCTGCCATTGCTATGCAGAAAAGCAACGGCGACAGGGGACTGCCATGGGGGACTCCTTCTTTCAGGATACGGCATCTGCTGGTCTTATCTTCTCATCGCACAACCGCCCGTCTGTCCCTCAGAAAGGACTGAAGCCACTTCACAGCAACCGGGTGAATGTTTAGGCGCGCAATGTCTCTGAAGAGACCTCCCCGCCAGACTCTATCAAAAGCCGCTCTGAAGTCCACCGCCGCTACGATAGTCCTCTTCTTGGCCTGCAGGTTATCCATCGCCGACTGGGTGATGTTCGCCAGTACGTTCTGAGTGGTCCTGTGCGGTTGGAAACCTGACTGTTCCACCGGAATGATGTTGTTTGTTCTCACCCACTTCTTTAGCCTGTTTGTCACCGAAGCTTCAAGCGCCTTGGAAACGTAGCTGAGGAAGGAAACCTGTCTATAGCTCTTTATAGCATCCGCTGGCTTTCTCGGTTTCCTGATGGGCACGGTCACTGCCTGTTTCCACTTGTCTGGGACACGGATTGCCACCCAGCTCCTGTTCAAAATCTTCAGCAGGAGTTCCTGGCCGGAGTACGAGAAGTGTTTCAGCATCTGAGGTGTGACTCTGTCCTCTCCTGCTGCACTGTTCTTGGTATTGCTGAGCACTTTGTGCAGCTCGCTCTGCGAAAACTCGATGCCGGTGTCATCGAATTCCTCGGGCTTTTTCTTAAGGTGTCCTCGAACCGCTGTGTACGCTGCTTTGGACTTGACTCTGTCCACTTGTACTCTGCTGACTTGGGCATACGTCTTCATTGCGAGATCTGCTTTCTCCTTGTTGGAGCGTGCAGTGCAGTTTCTCGATATGATCTGGTTGGCTGGAAGCGGTTATTTGCTCCTTTTGTCGATGCCTTTGATGGTATTCCAGATCTTTGTCCCTGAAGTGTGGACGTCGACGTGAAAGATCTCCACGTGCCACGCTTTCCTTCTTCAACTGCCCGACTCAAGTTCCTTTTCGCTGTCTCATAGGCTGTCCAAGCCCTTTCTTCTTTAGTTCTTTTCCATTCCTCGAAGCTCTCCTTCTTGCTTTCTTTTGCCATATTGCACTCTTCGTTCCACCACGGTGTTTGTCGTTTCCTGTTAGAGGTCATAGGAATTTTTTCTTTCGCCGCTTTCATGAGAATGCCGACGAAGTCTTTGTACCACTTTTCGAGAGAATCTTCTTCTTTCCATGTTTCTTCCACAAGGTCGTCCACCTTTTCGGCAAAACCTTCCCAGTCTGCCCGTTTGTAGTTAAAGTTTCTGCGTTCCGCTTTCTTCTTAACCGGCGCTGCAGTCGCAAACTTCACCAGCAACGGGAGGTGGTCCGATCCGAGACTATCTCCGATCTCCCATTTCATCAGGTGTAGGCGGCTAGCATGCGCCATCGTGATATCCGGGGCCGTCGTCTGCAAGCCTCTGTACCTGGTAGGTGCTCCATTGTTGAGAGCTATCATGTTTTTGGATGCCATCCAGTCGTTGATTTCTTCGCCCCTTTGGTCTGTCTCTCCACTGTGGTCCCAGACACCATGTGCATGCACATCTCCTCCTATGATGACATCTTTTCCGCTCGGCCACCCAGAAAAGTGAAGCTCCGCGTCCCTGCTGTCGGAGTATACTCCACGAGTTGGATACCGATACATGTTCCAGATCTTCACTCTTTCTTTCTTCGTCTTGACTTCAACGCCGACCGACTCCAGAGCTGCATGGTTGGGGAGGCTCAGCTTGTCCAGTCTTTTGACATCGAGACTTTCCCGGGTGAGGATAGCCACGCCTCCTTGGGGTTGCTGGTTACCCACCCTGTGGACAGTTCTCTCTTGTCTGTGTTCCCTCCATCCTTCCATCATCACACTCGGTGTCGTCTCAAGCATCTTCGTTTCCTGTAACAGCGCCACGTCCACTTTCTGGTCCTCAAGATATTTACGCAGTACATGCGCTCGACCTCTCCAGCCATCCACGTTGACTTGACAGATGACTAGTCCCGTGTTTCTTCGATGCTTGTTCTGTGTCTGTTCTTCCTCTTCCTCCGGTCTACTTTGTTCTCGCCGGGTTGGGGCACACTCCCTCTTCCTTGGGGCAGGCCTTTGCTCCTGTTCACAGCCACAGTGCCACCTGAAGGTGTTGTGTGCGTTTATTTCTTTGACGCTCATATCGAGGCGTTCTCTGTGGAACCATTGCCTCCAGTCCAGACATTTTTCTTCGCCCTTGTAGAAAGTTCGGCTGCTTCTGCATGATCAAAACACCAGTAACTCTTCTGACTTTAGGAAGGTGAAGACCGCGCTGGGTCTGCAGAGAACGGCCAAAGAGAAGGTGATGGACAAGTGTAAGAAAGCCCTGCAACAATCAATAATCCAGGAGGCTGCCGAACACAAGATGTCAGTGGCCCAGTACAAGAAAATCACCTTGCAACATGGTAACGCCAAAGGCTGAATGAGGGCAAGAAAATCAGGAGAA